ATTTGATGTATTATGTTGTCATCACAAATCAGGAAATCGGGAAACATAACTTTAGACCATGAGATTGATTCTAATCCATGTCTCATGTCTGTATGATATCTAGGTGAACGGAGGAATATCGAATCACTTATCTTAGGATCAATTTCGATTAAGTTCAGAGTTCGGTAGTTGCTATGGAAGCGCTCTTTGTTGTTTAATTTACAAGTTATACCAGTAATTTAGTTTTCGACTTATCCAAGTTGAAGACTGTTGTATGAGCTGTCTAAGCCAATAACTAAATTAGTATAATCTTGAATTATTAGCAAAGTCCTTTTGGGTTGCCCTCAAACCTAGTAATTGAAAAGGGTGATTTTTAGAGAGAGAGAGAGAGAGAGAGAGAGACAGACAGACAGACAGACAAATTTATTAATTTGTTATGTTATTAATAAATTAATTAGAAATCAAAATAAATGAATTTATTAATATGTTATAAAAATAATATATTAATTAGAAATTGTATCATTAATTAATAATTGCTCAAAAATTAATTTAGAATTAATTTTGGGATTAATTTGATTAATTAAAAGTGTAGGGGTTAAAGTGTAATTGTTTATTAATTGAACAAGAATGAGTCCAAAACCTTCCTTAGAAGAGTTGGACGAATTTTAGGGTATTCCAGGGTATCTGGAATATTTTTACAGATAAATAGGAAGTTGGATAATTACCAATTTGAATAAGTATTATTTTATTCATTTTAGGGTTATCTAGGGTTTCTAATTTTCACTATATAAGGAACCCTTAATGCTCCAATTTTTGGCACTTCATTCCAAAGAACCAAGGCCGAAAATTATATTATCCCTCTCCCCCCCCCCCCCACTTCAAATATTCTAGTTGTTAGGGTTGGGTATGAACAATTAGAGACACGCCACTTGTAGTGCTTGCTTCCAAAAGCTTTGAAGAATGATTTTAATTATTTACTATAACAAATCAAGAGGTATGTAATCTTCCATATGAATTTAGATTTCATTAAGTTTTGTAGTTTGATAGTTCATAGCATGTTGTCTTTATGTGAAAGATATAGATCCTCTTTAGGTTACACGTGCCCTAATCATTTAATTGTTAAATGCTTTTCCGCTTAGAGAATTGTTTTGTAATCTACGTTTTCCATCAACTATAAAGGTAAATAACTAGGATACGCATACATCTTATACTCACTCTCGAGAGAGTGCTAATCATCCCTCACGATGGCCTACTACAAACCATACTCACTCATGAAACTTCCACATGTATGCTAATCATACATAACATTGGACTCGATAGACAGTCAGATACTTGATTCTATCCTAAGTCCACAACCATACAAGGAACAAGAAATACGGCTAAATCAAACATTCCTAGGCTATAAAATCTTAGTTATGTACAACTATGATGCATACACTAAGAAACCATAATAATAATAATGCCAATTCCATATAGCATAACAAGAAATTCTCCTGGGCTATCAGGCATCATAAATTAGACAATTATATCATGCAATTCCTGAAAATCCCTAACCTACAATGTAACATCCCAAAATGGAGACCCAAATTTTTTTTGTTTTAGAGTGTAATACTTGTAAAAACAGTTAGCGGAAAACAACATTGATATCATTTCAAACATAAAGTCACAAATCACAAGTCTCAAAACCATATGATCAAATAGTATAATATCAGAGTACAATCCCAAGTTTCTCAAATGTGGAATATCATGTATGAATGTGTGATGCGCTGCTACCCGGCCGGCTCCTTCCCCATAGATGAAGAGGTACCTGAAACCCAAAACTAAAACCGTAAGCACAAAGCTTAGTGAGTTCCCCCAACATACCCATACCAACAATGCATAATCTTCGGTATCTTTCAACCGGTAACTATAGAGCATAGCCAGGAGTTGGGCTCCTCCTCGGTATCTTTCAACCGGTAACTAGGAACTAACCTCCCCTTCGGTATCTTTCAACCGGTAACTGGGAGCTACCCTCCCCTTCGGTATCTTTCAACCGGTACCCAGGGACTATTTCACCCCCTACTACTGCTAACGCATATCAAGCACAGTAAAGATATCAAGCACAATAATCATATCAGGCACAATAATCATATCCCATATCAATACTAGATAATTATCACAAAGACAATCATCTATACAACACTCCTACTTGTGGGCCGGCATTGTGACCGTAGACCCACTCCTACTAGGAGAAAACTCACCTCAAAGTCGTGTTGTGTCTGCACTGATCTCGGTATGAAAACCAACTCTCCTCGAATCCTCAATCCCTACACAACAACTTTTCTAACTTATCAATTTATACTCGTAACCCTTACAAGGGCCAACTCAAGTCCAAGACAAGGTCAAGGTCAACACCTTGATCAATGGTCAATCCTCTGGTCAAAGTCAACATCTAGTTGACTCGACTCGCCGAGTTGGTCCGCCAACTCGTCGAGTCCCCATGTTCATCTACTGCCATAATCCCGTCCTTACTCGTCGAGTCTAGCAAGAGCTCGACGAGTTCGCCTTCAACAACACATCTGACTATCTTCAAACGACTCGCCGAGTTTGTCCTTGAACTCATCGAGTTCATCTTCATTCATATGAAGATGTTCAGTCTACGACTCGCCGAGTTCTCCTTGAACTCGTCGAGTCCATCTTCATGTGGTTGGGACATTTCCTTGAACTCGTTGAGTCTGTTCATCCACTCGCCGAGTCCTATGACTTCCAGGTCTAAAACAAACCCCCTAGCAGGCTGAGTGTTCCTTCCACTCAACCAAAACCATTCCCAGAAGACGTTTGGGGGAAAATGCATTCCGACTCGTCGAGTCACCCAAGCGACTCGCCGAGTCCCTCCTAGTCCAAAACTATACAGTCAATTATAATGGGTCTTAATGCATCAAAACCATAGATCTAACTCCCTAGGGTCCATTTCATACGTAAAGTCCCAATCTCGATGTCCATGCATGGGGTTTTTGGCTCCAAATTCCATAAAAGAAGGTCTACAAGATGCATGGGGTGTTTATGCCAACAAAGTTGGCACCTTTATGCCATAAAGACCCCCAATAGCCCCAGATCCGAAGTGCAATTCCAAGCACACCCACCAAATCCGATTTTTGCTCCTTTATACTCATAAAAAGGGTAGAAATAGCCCCAAATCAAAATATAAGAAATAGATGGTCAATGTTCCAGCTTTTTACCTTGAATGAGCTGAGAATGAAGTAAAACTTCTGGATCTCCTTGCTTCTACTTGAACTTCCAAGCTTCCTTCTTCTTCTCCAACTTCAAACACACACAAAAAGCACCAAAAGGCTCAAAAACACTCAATAAGTGTTTAAGGTTTCAATCTAGGGTTTATCTGGGTTGGGAGGGTGATAGAAGCTGGTTTGGGACGAGATAAAGTGTTTAAATAGGGTGCAAACCCTATACACTAGGGTTTTGTCCAGACAACTCCTACTCGCCGAGTCGGTCTCCCGACTCGTCGAGTAGATCATTAAAATCCCCGCATAACGTCGAGTCTACTCGACGAGTTGGGCCTCCGACTCGCCGAGTCCCAGAGTAAATTAAAACATTACTTGAATTTAAATACGTACCAGGAACCGGGTGTTATATACAACTAGCATGCAATTCTATAATATCATCAATACACAGAACAAGTGTGGGTATCTTCAGGAACACTTTCATTGGTTTCGGCTGATTGTACACATAACATCCCTTTTGTTGGTCTTTTTAAGGTTAGTTTTCAAAAATATTATGCAAATCCTTAATTTGAGTCTGGAATCCCACTATTATTCATCATATTCTTTAAAACCAGGGCTTTGATACCAACTTGTAACATCTCAAAAATCATAGTAAAAAATTTTCATTTTTCAAAATTATTTAATATTCCATAAATCATACAAAACATTGTTTCCAAAAGCTCATAGTAATCAATTAGAGTATCCCAAAATCATCTATCAATAAAATATTCAAAGATGATGTGCATAATCACACCTTTGTCTTGCCCCGGTCATCTAATGTACTTGAAACCATGAACTCAAAATGTAGTCTAAAGCTTAGTGAGTTTCTCCCAAAATACCCCACACAGCAAAATATATACAATGCATGTAAACAAAGCCTACAACACAAGGGTGGACCGCCACCGAGCCTACAACATAAAATTGGACCGCTCCCGAGCCTATAATATAAGTTGGACCACTCCCTTGGGCCTACATTATCAACTAGACCGTCTGGGTATCTTGACCTTCAGCACAAAGCAGAACCGCTTCAACCCAACCACAATACATCGACATATGTAAAAGATAACATATAACCAGCAAGTACATGTAATCATATAAATATACCAATCTAACATATCACAAAAAATAGAATCCTCCTATATACCAGGATATATAACACAACCTAAAGGGTCGTCATTAGTGCCTTCGACCCATGAGTCCATGAGTACTGTGAGAAAACTCAACTCAAGGCTCAAAAGATGACTAAACTGACCACTGCTCCAATATATATATATATATATATATATATATATATATATATATATATATATATATATATATATATATATAATTTAAATGAAAATTACCATTTTAACAATTATTCTAATAAAGTATTACTTTTTTACATATAGTACCTATAATAAGTTTTTTTGCATATTATAATCTTAATTTTTAATTTTTAATAATAGTTTTATAGAATATTACATGTATTAGATTTTATAAATAACATTTTATGAAAATGCTGATTTTTTATTTGTTTTTTATTATTTAAAATTATAAAAAAAAATGCAAAAATTACTAATAGCTATATTTTCTTCATTTTTTAATCTATTTTTTCCTATATATAGAGAGAGGTATCTTACGACCTTCCTTGTTTATATCCAACACATCTCTATCTCTCTCTCTCTCTCTCTCTCTCTCTTGTGTGTGCGCGTCATGGCAAAATCTCATGTACTCCGTGCATGTATACTTGTACTACACATGATAAACAACTTCGTTTCGAACATGCTAACCAAATTCACTCCATGGAGAAACACTTCATTTTCATCACTCCCACTGCCTCTTGAAATCGCAACCAAACTGTATGTAGACTCCACTTCCATTAAAACAGCTTCGTCTGACTTCGGTAAACTTTTTCAAGAAACTCCGTTTGCCGTTTTCTATCCGTCAACCGTTTCTGACATCGTCCACCTCGTGAAATCCTCCTATACCTCTTCCTCTCCGTTCAAGATCGCCGCTAGAGGCCATGGCCACTCTATCGATGGTCAGGCGATGGCAAAAGATGGGGTGGTGGTGGAAATGACGTCTTTAAGTGGCGGTATTAAAGTTTCTTGGAGTGATTATTTAGGGTTTTATGCTGATGTTGGTGGTGAGCAGCTTTGGATCGATGTTTTGAGGACGACGTTGGACCATGGATTGGCTCCAGTTTCATGGACGGATTACTTGTATCTTACTATTGGTGGTACACTTTCTAATGCAGGGATTAGTGGACAGACTTTTCTTCATGGTCCTCAGATCAGCAATGTGCATGAACTGGATGTCATAACTGGTACACACAGAACTATATGCATACACATAATTTGGTTAACTGTTAACTGGACATTTCATTTTGTTCGATATCTAATTAAAACACATTTAAAAACATAAATAAAGTGACGTTTCTGTCTCTTCCTATATATAAAAACTGAAAAGCACACACATGCATGCACACAAGACTATGGATTCTTAGACTAGTTTAGGTTGGGTGGATCATCGTTTGAAAACCAAAAATACCTCACTTGAAAGTGACTGATTATCATATCAGAGAGGTGAATTGAAACTAAAATTCTTGATGTGTTTCATGATGATTTGCAGGAAAAGGGGATTTCATGACTTGCTCTAAAAACATGAACTCTGAACTCTTTTATGGAGTTCTTGGAGGTCTTGGTCAATTTGGGATCATAACTAGGGCAAGAATTGTTCTAGACAAGGCACCGACAAGAGTAAGATCATTAAAGACTTACGGAAAATGAGTGTACCCTTTAATGCACATACTCGTGATCATATGTAAAATAGATATACTAACGTATATTTTCATATTTTTGAGAGGTACGTATCTGATATGATTTTAATTTTTGTGTGATTTCTTATAGGTGAAATGGGTTCGAATGATTTACGAAGATTTTGATATCTTCACAAAGGATCAAGAACACTTAATCTCAATTAATCATGGGCTTAATTATGTTGAAGGCTCTATAATCATGAAGAAGAGTCCTGCAAACAATTGGAGATCTTCTTTTTTCTCAATCCTTGATGAAGAGAAAGTGAATTCTTTAGCATCAACATGTGGGGTCGTTTATTGTTTAGAAGTAGTCAAGTACTACGATGAATTCAGCGTACAACCCATCAATGAGGTACGCTTCATCATGTGCATGGCATAATAATCCAAACAGTTCGACATTTGCAACCTGTATGCTCAATATTTCAATATTTTGTATGTACTTACAGGAACTTGATGACATATTCAAAGATTTGAGCTTCAAAACAGGATTTATTTTCAAGAAAGATGTTTCATATGTTGATTTTCTGAATAGAGTGAGAATTGAAGAACTAAAGCTTCAATGTAAAGGATTGTGGGATGTTCCTCATCCTTGGCTAAATCTATTTGTCCCAAAATCGGGCATTTTGGAATTTAATCAACACGTATTCGTTGATATTATTCAAAAAGAGGCCAAGAGCTCGGGCCCGTTTCTCGTGTACCCGATGAAGCGGACAAGGTAATTAAATATTAATTTCTCATATATATATATATATATATAATATATATATATATATATATATATATATATATATATATATATATATATATATATATATATATGAGATAGTTAAGGTAAAAATGACTATATTCCGGGTCTTAATTAGTCTAGAAAATTAAAGAATAATATATTTTACCTTGATAAAGTTAGGGAAAATTTAATTAATTTATTTATTCGAGCTAGCTGCTTGATAGATGAATCAATATCTAATACTTCATTTTTTACTAATAGAGAAATAATAATTTTTTTGTCAACATACAAAAACTGAATTATTTTGTTTATCTATTAATTAATTTTTTCTAGTCTTTTGAAACAATTGCTTTAGAATTTTAAAGTGATTACTTACCCATTTCCAATGATTAATTTCCATACCAAATAAAAAAATTATTAGTAAAACAAATTACGACATGAGTTAAATGTCTTTTAATTCAGTAACTTTTTTTCTTCACAAAGTAAAAATTAATATTATTGTTTTGTGCTTTTCCCTAGAAACCATATTTCATTAATACCGGTAATAGTAAAAAAAAAATGTGGGATAATTTCAAATTTTAGATATGAAAATGGACATTTTCGGGTATAAACATGCATTCCGTGGAGGTAGCTCCCTGGAGCTCCGCGGAATCTACTATAGTTCCGCGGAATGGCAAAATCGTAAATAAATTAGCGTATTTAAAAAAAAAAAAAAAATTCAAGATCCATTCTGCGGAGCTACAGTGGATTCCGCGGAGGTAGCTCCGAGGAAATTGATCTTCAGTTTTTTTTTTTTTTTCAAATCGATTAAAAAAAATCTCCTCCAATGATTCTTTTATGTAATGATCTCTAATTAAAAGACTAATTTTTTTCCAACTCACATTCTTACGAAACATTGTCAAAAAAAAATCATACTATCATAATCTTTTCTTGAAAATAATTAGTTGGACGATTGAATATAAACCCAGAAAAATCGATTTGAAAAAAAAAAAAAAAACCTGAAGATCCATTCCTCGGAGCTACCTCCGCGAAATCTACTGTAGCTCCGCGGAATGGATCTTGAGTGTTTTTTTTTTTAATACACTAATTTATTTACCAGGAAATGTCCATTTTCATGTCTAAATTTTGAAATTATCCCCCATTTTTTTACTATTACCTGTATTTTCCCAAAAAAAAAAAATCTTCTTCTTGTTAACAATTTTAACTGAAAAAAATTGTGCTAAAATTACAGGTGGGATGATAGGATGTCGGCCACCATACCAGACGAAGATGAAGATGTGTTTTACACCATTGGTTTATTGCATTCAGCAAGAAACACCGAAGATGGGAAAATCATCGACGATCAAAACAAAAAGATATTAAATGTATGTGCTGAAATTGGAATAGAAATCAAGCAATATCTTCCAAGATATTACACAACAAAAGAAGAGTGGATAAAGCATTTCGGTGCAAAATGGAGTTTATTTGAAGAAAGGAAAGCCAAGTATGATCCAAAACTGATATTGTCTCCCGGGCAAAGAATTTTCTAATTGCAGCTAACGGAATAATTTGATTATATATATATATATATATATATATATATATATATATATATATATATATATATATATATATATATATGAACAGTAATGTTTAGTTTATATCACTTCTGGCCCACAATTATCTATACTTTGACAAATGAGGTCCTTTGTTTTGTTCTTGCTGCCATTTGAAAGAGTGTTATTTAGAAGTGGATCTTCGTATTGCATTGTAATCTATTTAATTTATAATAGAAAGGTCTATTAGTATAATAATTTCATTGTAGGTTACCTAGCAGTTCCCATTTGAAAGAGTGTTATTTAGAAGTGGATCTTCGTATTGCATTGTAATCTATTTAATTTATAATAGAGGGGTCTATTAGTATAATAATTTCATTGTAGGTTACCTAGCAGTTCCCATGTCACTGTACATGATAATCATAAAACAATTTAGCACATAAATGTGTCCAAATAAGCACATATAATGATTTTCCTTAGACTCCACTAAGTATTTTTCTTTTCTATCAAGCACATATTAAAGCTTCCTAGACTCACCTTCTAGGATCTTTCCTGCTTTACAACAATCCTCTAAGTCTCATATGATATGGATTCATAAAAACCTTGAGCGTTTAAGTATTTATTCTAAAGACAATGTAAATTCAGAAATAGTTATAATATTAACTCTTCGTATTCCTTTTAGTACAGTCCCCAGCCTGTAGGGTTTACTATATATGAATGTACTCTGCTGGTATGGAGACAAACGCTCTTCATTTACTTATACCACCTTTTGATACTTGCAAATCGCTAAGCGCGTCATTATATCTCTTCACTTCATCATCCTTTACTTTATATGAGTTAATCCTAAAACGTCTGCTTCTCAGTTGCATGTCTTTTATGTATACTTCATAGAAGTCAATCCCAAGAAGTCTTCACTTTAACATGTTCTACTACCTTCCACCTAGTCCATTGTCGTCTCCTGACATAAACATTTCTCTTAGTGAAATACCATAGATGTATCGCCTGTTTAGCTAAGTCTTCTATCTTACTAAAAAAGTAAGTTACCCAACATTTTACCAATTAATGACTATAATTAATTACCATCCCAGTGCTATAGGTTAAAGTTGGTTAAACATACTAAGGAATTCTCATAAGGATGTGATAGAAATTAATTTGTCACTTAGTATTATTGTTAGGATGTAAAGTGGATAACTAGCAAAACTAAAAGCACACAAGACACAATATGTAGGTGGTTCGGTCAAGGTGACCTACATCCACATGTAGTAGGGGAGTATTCTTTATTTCAGAGCTCTCAAACAGAGGTTACAATTACAATTTCACAGAGATTCGCCTATCACTATATAATTACAAGACATTTCAAATGACTTGGCATGCATCCCTATTTCCATTTAAGGGATCATACCTAAAACCCTAATAGGCCAAGTCATTGGCCTAAAGGCCCATGAATGGTGTTAACCAATCATAATCCACCATGCAACATCTTCTGCAACATTCATCTATGTCATACAACCCATGATCATTAGCAACGCACATGATGAATCATCAGGAGCTATAGTGATGCATCATGATGCACAGGTGGCGCATCATGAACACTAGTGTTGTTTCATCCATCATGGTGGCGCATCAAGGTGTATTCCTTGATCATTATCAACTTCATGGAATCCTTGGACAATCGTGAGCATCATAGAGGACTTCATAGAATAAGTCTCATCAAGGAACACAAGTGGTGCATCCTTGCAAAAAGATGGCGCATCAACATGAGAATGGCGCTTCTTGTGCAAGAAATGGTGCTTCTTCTCCAGGGATGACGCTTTCGTCTTATGAGTGGTGTTCTTAGAACCATAGTGGTGCTTCTTCCTTCAAAGTGGTGCTTCTTCCTCTAGAATGGCGCTTCTACCTACAAAATGGCGCTTCTAGAACCATATTGGCACTTCTTCCTTAAAAGTGGCATACCTTGACAATGACTGGCACATCCACATTATCGACGACACTTCTTAATCCATAATGGCACTTCAAGCATAGGATGGCGCTTCATGATCATTGATGGCGCATCTATTGGGTTTTGGTATAATACAACATCCTATGGTGCACATATAACCCTAAATACCTTGGATCTATGTTTTCATTAATAATACATGCAAATGGTTTCCAAGGTATTGAACCTATAGCTAGCATGCAATTGTCATACAAACTACATAAGCTACTAGATAGTGTAACATACCTTTTTGTGTGTCTGGAGGTCTTGATGTATTTGGCCTTAAGAACTTAGCCCCAATAGTGTGGAAGCCTCAAATGAAGTCACAACACATCAAGGACAAAGGTAGGACTTGAGAGAGAATCTCCATGCACTCTAAAACCTTCATGAACTCCAAGAACATGCACACACACACTAAGGGTGGCGGTTTTTAGGTCATAACATATGTATTTATATGTGTTGAATTCTAAGAGTCATGGGTATAACCCAAACCCCATATCCATGGATCTTATGATCCATGATTCATGTGGCCCAACTCTTTATGTATCCATACATAAACTTGGTCCAACATGGATCATAAGCCCAACACATATAAATATAACTAATTACCATAATTAGTCCCCATAGTTTTAATTAGTCTCTTTTTATCACCAAATTAATTCCAAATTAATTCTTGATCAATACTAATTAAAACATATGACTTCATATTAATATATTAGAACTTATAATATATTAATAAATCATATATAACCTCTTCTCTCAAAAGTCCATCCTAACAAATTGTCCTGATGATATGCAACCCAAATGGACCATGCTACTCTCGGGTCGAATACATACCAATAATAGTTATGGGCTTAGACATCTAATCCAACAGTCTCCCACTTGGATAAGTCTAAAACTATTGTTGCGTATGACTCCAAAACCTGACTAGAAATCGTAGCTCTTAAAGCCGCTGTCGAACTCTGAACAAATCAATGACGCGTCCATTAAATAAGGTATCATATATTCCTCCATTCTAGATATCATATGGACTGAGACATGGATTATAATCATTCTCTCTGTCCATTTGTTGTTTCCCGATTTCCGATTTATGACGACTGACTAATTGAACAAATCAAAGCAGTCCTGGCCCGACCGAGCACTTACGTTTGTCATCACCAAATCATCGAGGGGCCCACAGATATCGCTTTTATCCCTCCAAGGGTAAAAGGAATGGATAAACTTCGACTCATATGCTTGTTCTACTACTTGTTGAATTATACACAAAGGCACGTTTTTTATAACATCGAGTTACCAAATGCGTTTACGTGCAATCAATGTATAACCAACTCATAGGCAACAAGTCATATCTCTAGGTTTGAAGAATATAAGATATTATCGTCTCATGATCACTCGTGATAAAATCCATGAAGTGATTCAAATGAGCGTGGGTTGAATCCAATACTCGAATCCCTATTCCAGGAGTACTCATGAATGTTGCAGTAACTCTTACTATGTCCACTACCTTGGACATCTACAAACCCGATTCATGACAATCTTGCCTTAATACCTACTTCCAACGTATTATCGACTGTGGATGGTTTGAATAACTTAATCATTCGGAAAGAATAACCTAGTTATTCTGGAAGTCAAAACATGCAAAGTGAAACACAAGAATAATACTAATCCTCTATGGTCCCAAGCACCTTTGAGAGTAAAAAAACCTTTTATTAAACACCATATTGATTACTCATTATTCATTGTATAATGTTTCAAATAATCAACTTTATACTTGAATCAAAATAATAGTTGTCCCATGCTCCAAGCATGTAAACTATGTTTTCTAAACACTAGTCATGCCATACACCAAGTATGCACACTATGTTTATCTATGATCTTTACTTTGTGAAATATATTAATTGAACATGATTCCAATGATGCTCATTTCACAATCCTAAATCTTTATCGTAAATGTAAGAATTCCAAATTCCTACCATTTAACGAAATCTGTTAGATTCTAATCTTATATGCATTGATCCTCTCGTAATGACTATGCACAAAGTCACAAAGACTTGTCAACAGACATTACAGAGTATTCCACTAGAGATCAATTCCATGGAAACGAAGTCTCAAATTCAAAGTGCATTACTTTGAACATCCTTCTTGCATTAAGCTTTCTAATCTTACACAAATTTGAAGAACAACTTCCACCTATGGAAACCTTTCCAGATTCGCATTTTGACTATCACTTCTGAACAAGAGTTGCCTCTTTTCAGAATATGTTAATACGGTCCTTCCAAAATTAACAATATACTTCAAACTGTCCATGAGCAACCAATCTTTGGTAAACCTCAGATTGTCCTCGACAATTGCTTAATCATTTTAGTCATATTCAATTCTAGATCTTCTATCCTCTTAATGCCTTGAGCATTTGGAAAATTTAGAAAGGATGAATATTATAGCACATGCAATCGATCCTATATCCGAAGTATATGGGACACGATTTATGACGTCTCACATAAAGACGTGATCATAGACCACTCTTTTGCTACAATATTTTTTATTTGCCATGTTTTCAAAATTTGACTATGAAGAGGGATGCCGTAATCATAATCGAATTTTGAGAACGCAATATATATAGAATTTCCATGTGTTGAACCATTCCAACATAAAATTCATATATATATCCTTGAATAAAGATGATCAAAATCTCAATCTAAGCTTTTATAATTGAAATGAAGTATAATTTCCTCTCCCTTAATTATAGCAAAACAACTTTTCCCAATTGAAACTTTTGTTTTCTATAATTAATACTTAACATAATAATCATGCTCCTACTTACATGATAATTATTAGCATATCACTTATGCTCCCACTAGCTTTGACATGTATCCAGAAATCAGTTGGACTTCTAGAAATCAATACTTTATTGACTTTCTTACCAAAGTTCAGACTTCTGATACAAGATGTTTTTCGATAAAACTTTATCAAAATCATACACCTTTCCTTAGATAGCACACATGTGTGTCTTAACAATTTC